AGTCTCTGTGCTAGGGGTTGGGATGATGCCTGAGTCCATCCAGCACCTGTTAATCCCACAGGTGCTAGCCTCCCAGGACTGGAGAAGCACTCACAATTCCCCCATCAAAACAGCCCAGTTATTTGACAATATGTTGCGGAAGGGTGGAGCTCGTTGCAAGAGTTCCCAGACTGGAGGAAGGGTGCTGCCCAAAACCATAGCATACCACAGCATCTAGGGTGTGGACCTCAAAAATGGTAGCTGCCCACCTGCAGAGTACTAGCACTGAGGGCGACTCTTCAGGAGTTGGTGGATGCCAAATTGGGGAGCTGAGTCAACAGGAAGCTCCGTTGTCTCTTGAGTTTCACCCTCCTGCAATCTCAGGCCTGTCTGGCAGAAGGTCTTGCACTTGGTGACTTGCCCTGAGCCAGCCTAATGACCAGCAGCAGTTTCCAGCATAGAGTCCCCTTTTCAGTGTTCACCTCCATTGTTCTGGTCCCATTGACATCCAACGGTAAGGTGCCTATCTACTAACTACCTCAAGTGGGAGCTCAGACCAGTTCTTCCCCTGCCTAATATAGTCCTAGAATAGAGCTCTGGGGAGTTCAACGTGCTTCCAGCTATTGTCTCCTCTCCACAGAGCCCAACATCTCCTGTTGCGATTTTGCACCGACTTCAGACAGATCCCTGTCTGAGTTGGTGTGGAAGTCAGTGGGGAAGCAGGACATTCTCATGTGGGTCATATCCCACTGCACTCACTGGCCAGGTGGGCGCAGTCCTCCCACATTCTATTCTCTATTGTTTATCTCACACTCTCCGTACTTCACTATCCTATCTCCATTCACCGTTTTTTCCCTGTATTGTGTGTGTGTCCCAGGCTGTTTCTCTGTAATTTCACAACAGTGTTCTTGCAGGGGAGCAATCCACTCATGTGTAGCAGACCACATTCTTCACTTCTATCTCTGGGAGCATGGATCCAGGAGGTCACCTTTACTCCACCATTTTCCCTCTCCCTGAACCTTTTTTTTTTTTTTTTTTTGAAGTGCTGCTCTTTCTCTTTCCCTTCACCATGAAGACCTCCAGTAAAATTTTCTTTCTCTAGCTCTTTATGTTCTATTCAGTATTAGAAGAGAATACATTTTCTAAAACAAGTATCAGTCATTATCTTCTCTGATTAGAGACCATTTTATGGCTTTACACTGCCTCCAAGAAAAGCAAATATTTTATAGCAGAGCGCAAACTTTTCTTGCTGCCTTATTGTCACCATCTTATGCTCTTGAATTCTTAAAGAAGAAAGAGTTCCCATTGTTTCATTCAAACCAAAATAGATTCCCAGTAGATTTATTGTTTCCATGTCTACTTGAACCTGATAATGAGACCTTATTTGGAAGTACGGTTTTTGCAAATGTAATCAAGTCAAGATGAGAACATGGTGGATGAGGGTAGGACCTAATTCAATGACTGGTGCCCTTAATATTATAATAAAATTATTATAATATAATATATAAATTATATAATTTTATAATGAGGGATATTTGAACACGGAGACATACTCACAGGGAAGATGACATAAAGGCATAGAGGAGAATACTATGTGAAGACAGAGGCAGGGATTAGAGTGATGCACCTAGAAGTCAAGAAATGCCAAAGATTGTTGGCAACTATCAGATAATAAGAAGAGACAAGGAACGATTGTCCCCTAAAGCTTTCAGAAAGGGTGTGGCCCTATTGATACCTTGAATTCAGACTTCTAGTCTCCAGAATTGTGATAAAATAAGTTTATGTTGTTTTAAGCTACCTGGTTTATAGCAATATATATGGCAGCCCTGAGAATCAATATACCCTGGAATTCAGAGAAATAGTTCTTGATACTTGATAATCATAATTTGTATAATCATTTGTAAATGACAGGTTTTTGAGCATATGGGGTGTAGTTATGGCACTTTATTCATAGTATTAGAAGCTCTCCTTTATTGTAATGCTATCTAAATCACAAGATATTAAACAAATTTCATTTGGGATTGCTCATAGTCAACCGAGTCTTAGTCATTGGAATTAAAGCATTAGGAATAACTGGGGTAACCAATTGAGGTCTGTCTTCTCTTCGTAAATGAGGTTTCTGATGTAGGTATTTTATCTTGAAAGTGTTTATGGGAAATCACAGGAAATGGTGTCCTGAAACCCCAAAATTAATTTCTATTGTTGCATGTGCTTCTTTTTCAGTCACTATTGGTGAGAACCCTTCCACATTTAGAGGCTTTTACAAAGAAATGGCTAAGTAGTATGTTAAACAATCTTCCCAGTCAAGGTAGCCCATATTTGTCAAATCAGGGCTGACATTTGTTTTGGTTGCTATAGAATGTCAGGAGTCTGCTGAGACTCATAAATTCATTTTACTTATATTGTGGGAAGGTCACTTTAAGGTCATGACTTCCTAACTTATTTGCATATAGATGTTCCTACATCTCTAACTTTCTAATAAAAGCATTTGCATTTTTACTTGCATACACTCACACACGCATACACAAAAACATATTTAATTTCATAAATCAAAGAGAACTGTCCAGTTAATCATTTTATTATATCTACATCTAAAGAAATTGACAGTTATCTTCATTTGCATTCAAAAGAAGACAAAATTCTCAGTGAAATAAAAAATGCTTAGTTTTGTTGACTCAATAAAGCATAGTGGGAGGAGACACTGATTTTTTCCTTTTATAATATTTGCACTTCTGAAGGTTAGTGTATTTTTGTGGGGAAAAAAATCTCCCAGTGATATTTTGGTTTGGAGACTCAAAATAAAAGCATGAAAAGTTGGGGAGAATCAGGACAATATCTGACAGAGCAAAAGGGTTAGCATTTATGCTTCATTCTCTTCTACAAACACAGAGACCTCTGGAGTGTACTTTAGGAAAATTCTGTCAGAAGAAACAGTGCCAGAAGCAACCCTTGATCAGAGCTGTAACTGTAATCATCATAATTGCACTACTAAAACTAATGAAAAATTATATTGGAATTCATCCTTGAAATAGTCACAGCAAAGTACATATTCCTTCTGTGCTGTTAGTCATTAGTCTCTGAAAAAAGCATTGTGGGAGTAAATGTCAACTTAACTCTTTTTTCGTTTGATGTATCTGCTAAGTTCATAGAAAAAAAATCCAGACACAGCAATTACAAAGATGGGCAAATGACAGAGAAAACAAGACTGTCTGATGAAGAGATATTTCAGGGAATATGTTATTGTAATGCAAATGCTACATTTTCCTGATGCTTTTGTTGAAAGGAGAAACTACTTTATTGCTGTTGTCAATGTAAGGCAAGTATGGTTTGTGTGCAGGACATTTTGAGCTCTCAAGTTCATTTCCACTTTGAAGCAGACTCCTCCAGGGAACAGGTAATAAATCTGCCACTCCACATGGATCCCTGAAGAAGACAGTGCTTTAGCTGGTGAGCAATACATGTCAGTCCAGGCATATCTGTAAGAAGATGATGACCTTATAGCTGCCAATGTCTTCAAATAGCAGACAGATGGCAAAAACAAGCTTGACAACACCAAGATGAAGAATTAAAAAAAAAAAAATCAAGGGTAAACAAAATAATTTCAGTCTGGTTCACAGTGAGATGTACTTTGTCATTGAGTGTTGGTGTCAAAGAACTCTAAACAAGATAAATTTGGCAAGATAATTTTTATGTTACATCTAGCACACTCAATGACATATTGAAGATTTAACATGCTGTTCATATTGAGAACTTCTTCTGACATTATCATTAGCAGCTGTAGGAAGCTTGATATTGGTTCCATCACCTCTATTTCTCCCTTTCCAAAGACAGAGCAAGCTTTTCTTCACATCAAAGTTGATTTGTCTATTCTTTCTTTTTTCCAGACTTAACAGAGTAACTAGTTTTTGACTGAGAAAGTGGAAAGATTTTTCTTTTCCTGAAGAAAGTTTAATCAGTGAAGTAATCTGAATTACTCATCAGAAGAATAAATAGAGAAATGTCAGAGCCTCACTGCACCAGTTTTCAAATGGGTGGAATATTCACCAGTTGATTTTCAGAATAGTCTTCTGAAATATATTGGGACCTATTAATTATTATGGATAATTATTCCCCTAGAAGTAAAGCTATCTCTTATTTTCTGACATATTTATACTCTATATTCCACTGTATCTTTTGGAAACTCATTTCATTTTATATAAAGCACCTTTATTTTCCATTTGATTTTTTTTAAATAAACCATTCAACTTTTATAATTTTCAGAAAATGAGATTTCTCCTCATTATAGTGTGTACTTCCTTACTTCATCTCTTTGGTCTTCTTCAACTAGAGGAAAGATTGATTTCCAGAGCTCTAAACTGTCTTTCTCATGGGCTAAACTCTTTTTTCATGTGATTTGATATTGAGTCTCCAGGAAATGCTCTTCTCAGAAAGTTTAACACTAAGCTGAGATTTCCTTATAATCTCCATTCTATATTACCATTCTAAAGTACTTATATTGAATATCAATATGGTTTCTTAACCTTACAGTTGTTTTATCTCCTCAATTATTTGATCTAGAAAAGCATTAATATAATCTTAGTGTCAGGTATTATGATAAGCCCTTTGTAGGAAAGGCAAGTAAAACTTTCTTGATGATCCCAATGTGGAGGAACCCAGCTGTCTTTTCTATTACATACCAGACTGGCCTGGCTTACAGAAGTCAGTACCTATGTTTATTTTCCTGAGTTTTTTCTCTGGCAGCAGGTTTGTCCTCTGCCTTGACCACAACAGGCTGGACATATCAGAGAATACAAGCACTCTAGAAACATCATCACTCAACCAATGATTGGAGGACATTAGTATATCAGTATGTTGGCTCCCTTTTCTTTTGGGTGGGGTGATTCTAAGATTCTTGTTTCTCACAGACACCTATAATTCCTCAGTGAAAATCAGATCTTATTGCTTCTGGTGGTAATTTACTTTATAGCATCTCTTTAGTTGACAGTTTTCTCTTCACTTTCTCATGTCCTGTCTCAGTTTAGAATCCTCCAGAAGAAGAGGCCGAGACAAGGATTTAAATACAAGTTGTTTATATGGGAAATGCAAAGAACACTGGAAAGGAAATAGGCAAGTGATACAGAGAAGAAACCAAGCAATGTAAGTGTATATCACTAAGCCGGCAACCACAGGGGTTGCTTCACTTTGGAAGAAAAGAAAAATGCATGCCTCAGAGTTGTGTTGACCAAGAGAAAAGATAGTTGAGAATATACACTAACTCCCATAAATTATTAATTGAGGACTTCTGGTACACATTTAGTTCCCTGGTACTTCTGCCCTGCCAACTATACAAGCAGAGTGGTCTACATATCGAGGAAAGCCCCTGTGTATGGATATGTACATAATGGCCTCTGGAAATCAGAATGAGCATGTTGAAATGAGAGAGTTTGAGGATACTGGGTAGGAGACAGGCAGGGTCTTCTATCCTTCCCCACTTACCTACCAGTATTGTCTGGGATCTTCCTTAATGAATTATTTGCACTAGAATTTTTGTCTCAAGAGTTGATCTTGAAAGATCCCAAACCAAGATAACCAAGTGAAGATACATGAGTTGTCATAACAGGAAAAATACTAAAATAAATGTATAAGCAGCATGCTATGGAGAAATGGCAGGGGGCAGAATCAGGAAATGGCTTCTGGAGAAGATAAAGACTGAGATAAAAATCTTAGGACCAGTGGCAGCTATGTAGATGAAGACAGGGAGAAGGGGGCAGGTACCAAGAACATTTCATCAAGTGGCACTAGAGTATCAAAGGCAGGGCAGTGGGTGTTGCCTAGCTTAAGTGCAGGCAATAAAGTGGTGCATTTGTTTATAGGCAATTAGAAACAATAATAATGCCAACTAAAAATTTGTATAATTTTTGTCACATGTGTTCTCAATTCTTAAAATATCAGCGATAATATGTTTATTTAGGTTCTAAACTATTACTGCAGTTATATAATACACATGAGTGCTATATATACATATTTTATTATATACCATTTAATAAATATTATACTTTATGCAGAAGTTAATTTGAAAAACCCCTAGTTATCTAGTGCTCATTTATTTATGTTGGTTTCAAGAGTTGGTAATAGTTCAGAGTGATTTGAGTTTCCTTCTAATACAACTTGCATCTTCAACCCATATGGTGCTTCAATTTTCTGCATTTAAACAGATTTGAAATAAGAAACAATAACACCGTGATCATAAGATAAAAAAACATAAACTGAATTACTCCTATTCTGTCGTTCGAAAATGCCAGAAGAAATGACAAAAGATGCTGCTCTTTTACATTGCCAGCAAAATTAAATTGTCAATGTTTGAATGAATTGTTTTCATCATAAATTGGACACTATAGCAAAAAATGTCCAGGTTTGGTATCTTTCAGTCTTTTTTGTTTTTGTTTAAGCAGAAAAAAAGTTAAAAACTTTAACGGACATACTAGAAATTTTATAAACATTTATGATGAAATTTAGTGAAAATGTTTTGCTGTAGAGCTATTTGAAATCTGTAGAATGGATTCTGAAGAATGTAGGCATGGGGAGTATTACACATTTTGGATTTATTGTGAAATGAGATTTTTATAAATGTCTCCTAAACATATACTTACATTTAAGGTGAACTTTTCTATTAACACACACATACACACACACACATGTACTTTCTTGTGAAAGGAATATTTTATATTAAAAGATATAAAAAGTATCAGAAAATTGATGATAATGTAGCCATGGAACTTGAATAACAAAAAAGTCTATATATTTTTATTTAACATAAAATTGATAGTTTGAGTGTATAGTCACTATATGGATATACAACTGATTATTCATTTGCAGTTTAAAGTCACTTGTCCTTTTTTCCCAGTTTTTAGTGGTTATAAAAAATATTGTATAAGCATCCAGAATAGGTTTTTTTTTTTTACATAAACATTCCATTCTTTCAGTAAATGCCTGGTAGTTTTATTTCTCAGTCATAAAGTAAGTATATATGAATTTTATGAGAAACTGCCCAAGATTTCTATAGTAGTTATATTCCCAGCAGCAAGGTATGACAGTTTCAATCCCTATGATTTCCAGTACTTGACATTATCTCTATTTTTTATATTAGTCAGTCTAATAGTTATATAATAGTATCTCATTGTGTTGTTAATAATTTAGAGTTCCTAAGAGAATAATAATAGGGGAAATTTTTTTTCATGTCTTTAGTTTTCATTATATATTATCTTTGGTGAATCATCTAAGATATTTTTCCATTTTTTAATTGGGTTATTGTTTTTTTTTCCAAGCTTTATTGACAAATGAAAATTGTATGTATTCAAGGTATACATATGTTGATTTGACATATGTATACTTTATGAAATAATTATCATAATCAAATTAATTAACACATTCATTGCCACACAAAATTACCACAGTTACCATTGTGTGTGTGGTGAAGACAATTATCATCTACTCTTTTAGCAAATTTCAAATATACAATATAGTATTATTAATTATAGTCACCATGCTGTACATTAGATCTCCAGAACTTATTCATCTTATAGCTGACAGTTTGTACCCTTTGAGCAATATTTTTTCATTTCCCCCACCACCAGCCACTGGCAACAACCATTCTATTTTTGGCTTATAAAAATTTGGTTAGATTTCACATATAAGTGCGATCATACTGTATTTGTCATTGTATGCCTGGCTTATTAGATTTAAGGTAATGTCCCCCAGTTTTAATTATGTTGTTGCAAATGGCAGGATTTCTTTCTTTCTTGTGTCAAAATGATATTGCATTATACATACACATATCCACGTTTTCTTTATCCATTCATCTGACAGACACTTAGGTTGTTTCTATATCTTGGCTATTGTAAATAATTCTTAAATGAATGTGAGGGTGCAGATTTCTCTTTAAGATATCGACTTCAATTCTATTGGATATACACACAAAAGTGGGATTGCTTGATCATATGGTAATTAAATATAACTTTTTTGAGGTTTTTGAGGTACCCCCCAAAAATACTGTTTCACTTATGTAACTCATGTAGTAAGCTCCAGTTTGGAAAAAATTTCTTGTGATAGTTCCTGTTATCAGGCAAATTGTTCACAAGAGCTCTCCCTTCATGGCCTTTGCCAGCTTCATTTTGCCAGGGTTTGACACAGAGACTCCATGTTGATCTGACTCCTTTCACTCTGTGGTGTGTGTCTGTGTGTGTGAGTGTATTCGTGTGTGTGTGTGTGTTTATGTTGGCTCACGTGATTATGGTGACTGGGAAGCCCAAAACTTGCAGTGTGGCTGGTAGGCTTAGGTCCCAGGAGAGCCCATGGAACAAATAGTTCCAGTCTGAAGGCAGTCTGCTGGAAAATTGCATCTTGCTTGGGAGGCCAATCTTTTTGTTCTATTCAGGCTTCAACTGATTGGATAAGGCCCACATGCATTGTAGCGGGCAATTTGCTTACTCAAATTTTACTGGTTTAAATATTAATCTCATCCAAAAACACCCTATAAGTTGACACATAAAATTAACCATCACATTTCTTTTCTTCTTTTTTCCTTTTTTCCTTCTGTGATAGAAGTATTTTTAACTGGTTTATATGCTTATCTGCTAAAGAAGCCATAGGAGAAAGAGGGAGAAGTTTGACAAGCAGGAGGGATGATTGATAAAGCAGCTTGCCTGAGTTGCATGTAAATCACAGAGAGAGATAATCTTGCCAAGAAAGAAATAAACTTCATCTGCTGAGAACAGAAAAAACCCTAGTGCTATCTCCACTGTACTTCACTCCCACTCGTCTACCCCCAGCGTGGTTGCAAATATACCATCTTCAATGTCTAAAATGCTGTAGTTTTTCTCTTGGAGTGCAACCACCTGCCTCATTTCCCCATTCACTTGCCTTTCATCATCAGCAAGAGGGCCAATCCCTCATTCCTCCAAGCCTTTTAGTTATAAGATTCAAAAAAATATGTATTTCTAAAAAGGCTGTCTTCTTTATAAAGCCCCTGTCTCCTTATTTGCTCATTCCACACTCTTCTTCATTTCTCTTCCTCTAAATTCAGTCTCCTAAGTATTGTTGGATATATACATTTTTTAATTTTGTCAATTGAATTTAATACAACGTCATGCTGTTTAACTTCATCCAGGGCCTGGCTGACTGTCAGGACATGTTTGTGTCTTAATTGCATGTTGCACATTTCTGGGGCCTAAGGTGATTTCAACATTCAATTTTTTTCCCACATGCTTCTTTCTCCAACACAAACTTTAATTAATTTACATACCACTTTCATGGAATTACACTAATGATCTTCTTGTGACAGTCAATACTCTTTTCTCAGCCTCTGTCATCCTCCACCTCTGCAGGATTTCCCTATGTCTACCATGTCCTTCTTGAAATAATCTCATTTTTTGGTTTTATTATTCATTATTTTTCAGTTTCTTCAAACTTCAAAGATGAATCAAAATAACCCTAAAAGTTTGGCTTGTTCCCACAAAGTCTACATTTTTTAAATGAGATGTCCTTCTTTTATATTCACAGTTACTCAGGGAAATCGTGAGGAAAAGCTAATGTCTTTTTATCTTGGCAAACATCTAAGAAGGCTATAGAAGTGAATATTTTTCAAAAGATGTATTTTCCCTAGCTAGCATGGGGCATTTTGAGCCATTTGGAAATAATTTTATAACAATCATTACTCAGTAAAAAATGAAGGGGCTATACTGCTTTCATACATAATGAAGGAAATATTGATCATCTAAGAAGACAGAAGTTGACATAGAATTATACAACTACTGAACAGAATTGCTTGTGTGCAGATAGGGCTAAAATTAAGAGACTTGTAAATTGCGTATGATGTTATTATTAGCATCAACAAAAATAGAAATGTTTTATAAAATTGAGGCTATCCCTAACTAGGGAAGCAAGGAGACTGACTATAATAGTCATCATACATATAAAGGCTTATTATAGGAAATATATTAGTAGACTTAGCTTACATCACAAAGTAAGGATTCAGGCTCAAAATAAATTAAAACCTCCTCCTCTCTGTATAGTTCACGAATTACTGAGAGGAATTAATGAAGAAATTTTTTTAAATGTGGTCTTATTCCTTCATGTTTTTAATAG